TTGAACTGGCCATAAAATGTGAATCAAATACAAACCATAAACATTATGATTTCCCTGCCTTGTTATGGAATAGATTTGGAGGTTTTCTTTAGAGTTTGGAATGTGTTGTTTGTCTTTCGGTAGAAAAGTAATGACAACACTTAATGATTAGCATTAGACATCCATCCAGGAGCTATTTTGATTTGTTCTTTAGGAAAATATGAATATCCATACTTGGTCTACCACTGTGTTGTCTTCACTAACCTGTATTTAATAGTGGCCAGTATCATACTCCTAAGACAGCAGTAACGGGACAAATCTAGAGGGAGTTGACTTGCAGTTTCCAGTTCCAATGCAATGGGAAATCCTATTGAAGCAATCATATGTAATAATTGCCAGTAGATATCTTCTAAATTTGCCAAATCTGTATTTTGTGACCCGCTTATAGTTATGGGATTTGCCACAGCATGCTGCAGTGAGTTCGACAGTGTCATTGTTCTGTGGGAGGTTAAGTATTAAAATTAGTATGTGATGTGAATGGGATATCTACTGTTTGTAGAAAATAATTTCTTATTAACCTCATTTGTGATATATTATTAGTGTATTACCTCAGTTGCTCCTAACTGGGAATATAGCATTGTCTCAATTTTCTCTGCTTACTCATTGGAGTATTAAGGCAATAAAATAAGGGATGTGCTAAAACATCTAACATAGACATACATGTCACTGATAAGCACTCAACATTATCATGTTAACATCAAGTATCTTGGGACAAAGCATTGCCTAAAATTGTTGTACAAATAATTTGGTTTTAGTAGGCATCACCTGCTACGAAATGAATGTCCTTTTTGTGTTGCTTTAATACTAGAAGTTCGTATTTGCCACTTAAAACATTTAAATCCTTTGTTCTGGAGCTTTTTCCCTTTTTGAATAGGATATAGGGGAACTAGCTCTCCCTAGTTTTAGCTGTCCTATTGCAATATAAGCCATGTAGTGACAGATGACCATATTTTCTAAAATTGTTTGCTGAAATATTCAGTACTTGTTTAGACAAAATGATGCTAAAAATGTATGAATTTAGTATTTAGGAAAGACAAGATATGATGTGTCAGTTTGAGGCATGTTACTTTTGTTTCAGCTTGTGGTACTAATTTTTTTCTTTCAAGAAGAATTTTTATGGATATAAATCTTAAAGTATGTCTCTGAATGTCAACGTTTTTAATAATATTGAGTAGCCTTTGAAGTATTTGAAAATAGGTTCTTGCAAAAAAAAAAATTTTTTTTTTTGGAGGAGAAACTTTTGATATGACCATTTGAAGTCACCTGAAATTTATAGGAGTAGGGGTTTCATAGCAGGTATTGTTGTCTGATCCCATTTTATTTAAACTTCTCAATGACAGCTATTAAATGCACCTGCAAAAAATTAGCAACTGGCTTCAGTGTCTTGCTTCCTTAAGACAGAAATAAAAACACTGTCATTCATTTTGTGTGTTTAAATGTTTTTCTTGCTGTGTTTGTTTTGTTTCAATCATAACTGTTTGGAGCTATATACTGTGTAACAGCAAGCTAACACAGAATTGGAGTGTTGGGGTTGGTTTTTGTCACATCATATTTGGTTCATGTTTAGTGAAACCAAGTTAAATATGATGCTGCAGGTGATGGTTTTGTTTACTTTCTTGTTTACTGTGTTAGGAGCAACTTAATGCTTTCACAAAAAGCTTTGAGAAGGGACACTTCTTTAATAATTTATATGCTTTCCAATACTTAACTGGCAAGAAAAGCTAGTTTTGTTTTAACTTTGTTTTACAATGACTTTCATTCCAGAAATAAATAGATTTTAAAAATAGGTCTGGGGTTTTACTAACAGCTTATATTTGCCCTATATAGTATTGCTGCAACTGTCTTTTTATTAATGTACTTATATTACAGTATGAAATACTGTTCATTATGATGAAATTCAACAAATAATTAATGTTGGCAATACTTTTGTGTTCTTTACCTATTTAGTTCATGGTTTAAATGCTTGCATTTACAGTTAATTTAAAAATGCTTCCAGTATTTAGTCCTGGAGAAGCTTCTAAAACTTGGCACTCTCACCAAAATGTTTCTCCATCAGACTTCCTTCCTAGTAACTTTAGGACATTAGCAAAACCGCAGTGTCTTACAGTAAGCAAACTTTCTGAAACTGGAACCTCCCTGTCCTAATGTAACAACAGAGAAATAGAATTCTGACCATTATTTTTCCCAAAAAAGACACTTTCAGATGCATATAAGCAGGAGGAAAGCGGCAGGAAAACTTAATAAATAAATATTTTAAAATGTGTCCTGAAATGTTTAATGGGTAGTTATTTCAAACACTAGATTGGAATCCTTATGTAAATCTTATTCTTGTATTTAAGAATATAAGTTGTCAGAAATCTTTAAAAGAAAGTTTTGGCCTCAATTTTTGATTGATGACTAGAAAAAAAAAAATTTTTGAAGGAAGGAAATGTTACTGTGTTACATAGAAAAAGAATATTGTACTCATGAATCCACACTTAGAGCAAGCATATTAATGAAGCATAGCATTGTTGATGTTGTCACAGAGTACATAGTGAAAATGCTTCATACATAAGTTTCTTGTGTGTTACCAACAAAATCCTACCAAGTCCTGGAGAAAAATGTCTTCGTCAAAGTAGGTTTATGTTATTTATGGTGGAGGTAAAATTTATTTGGGGGAACACACAGGCCTTGTTTTACTATCCTTTCCCTTTCATTGCTTGTGGAGAATATTCTGAATTAGGTTAATGTTTACATTACAATCAAGCTACTGTGTCTCAGCTTGCTGCTTTTCACCTGGTGAATGCTGACCATGAATTAGACTAAGATTAGGTATGAGAAAATAATGTATTTCGCATTTTAACAAAACTTACACATATTGTGAACTGCAGACAGGCACACGCACAAACTCACGATTCAGTTATTTCATGTCAAGTGGTCCTCTCAGGCCTACTTCCATGCTTGTGTTTCTTCAAAGCTAAAGCCAGCACAATAGAACTGTAATTGTTCGTGTAAATTGTTCATGTAAATTGTCAAGGCATCTTTTCCCATAAGCAGTTTAGTTTAAATTAACCTGCTTTTATTGTTTATGCATTGTTGAATAAGATGTTGCATATTTGTTGAACCATAGTAGTTTAAACGTTGGTTGTTCTGAAACTGAGCCCTTGAGTGAGGACTAAATGTTTGCTTTGTTTTTTCAATGGTTTCATTATTGAATTAAGTTCTGGCAACATAGAATAGATTTGTGGCCTATATATTGCCATCTAATTTACTTGCTACTTGTGCACACTTTGATACTACCCATTCCATTCTCCCAAAACAGGTCTAGGTCTCATGGTAGTCTTTAAATCCTTTGCTGGCTCCTCACAGCTCTGATTTGTGTCTTCGAAGCTGGGCATAAAGAATTCATCATATGTTATGTCTAGTTCCAAAGCGTGTACAAAAAACCTGGTGCTGAGATCATCCTTTGACAACTTTCCTTCAATGAAGCTCTTATTTGGGCCTTTCCTCAAGACTTCTGAGGGTACTTGGGGAATTGGCATTCTTAGAGCTTCTTGCCTCCAGCAAATTGTGTTGCAACTGGGCAATGAGGTCAAAATTAAATGGGGGCTGAGAAGTGGTAAACAGAGAAAAAGACTACAATCATTTAAGATTTGCTTTTTGTAAGAAATCAAACTTGAAGGGGGGTGGAATAATGCAGTATGTGTTTTTTAATCAATTTTCCTCCTCCTGAAAAAGTTTTTATGGAACAGCTAAAATGCCATAAGTGTTAACACATGAGAACTAAAGAAGCATTCAGACTGAGGAGTTCAAATTAACTTTATTACTCTGAGGCAAAAATAGAATGGAATTTTAGAAGAAATAAATATTTATCAACACTGTTATATTAATACCATAGTTAATTCCTGAGTAACTTGCAGCAATTTAAAAAGCAGGAGCTCTTTTTACAGTTCAGTTGCTCATAGGAATGGAGTAGGCAATACAGAAAGGGGAAGTATGATGCTGTGGCTACCAGCTGTAGTGAGGCCAATCCATAGATATTTTAAGGATAGTAGTCTTTATTTCATTTCTTAAACTTGCACTGAAAGTTAAATATAGAAGCACTTGGGGTTTTGACAGCCTTCTCCTACTTTTGATTCATTTAAAAAAAAAAATCCTTAATTTTTTGTTTTTAACTACTTAAGTCACTACTAGCCTAACCATTTGAACAGTGGCCTGTGTCTTTAAATGATTCTCCTTTACTGAAAACTTGAATAAAAGAAAGGCCTTTTCTCTCTTTGGAGATTGCCTTTCTTACCACCTGCTTGAAAATAAAAATTTATGACAATTCAAGAAAGATAGTATTGATCAGGATGAATGGGAGTGGCCAATTAGTGCTGCATTGCTTGCTTGCTTAAGGGTAGGAGTTTTAGTAAAGAGCTTTTTTCCAGAGTTGATATATTGAGGTGACAGGATTCAAGTAACTTCTTTCCCCTTTTCCAAAACACCACTGTTTCATTTGCAATGTCAAAGAATTTTGTCCCTCTGATTCTGTCCTTCCTTTTCAATGGCCTCTCATTTTGTTGCATGGTACTAACCAGGGGAAAATGGCCGTGATCGGGAGGCATCTGTAGATTGCTGTGATAGTACCATCTTAAATTAAGAGTTGTGTTATGATAGTGTGATCATTTTCAATACTCTTCCATTCCCTGTTGTCATGTGTCATATCTTGTGATTACTTATAATACCTCTGGGATTAACTATATCAGCCTATGCATATTTATAACACTTTGAGTGCCACAGAACAAATACTACCATCTGGACAATACTGCAATAGAAATAATTTCAGTTATATGACCAGATCAATATGCACATGAAACAAATAGTATTTGTAATAATTTCTGCTAATAAACATATTTCAGCAGGGAAGAGGAGGGGGAAAAGCAAGATTTAAGTAGTAAATATAGGTAAATGTGCTAACTGTTCTTGCCTATGTTGCACAGGTACAATTTTTGGTACACCATCACAAGAAATGACTAAAAATACACAACAAATAGTAAAATATGCAGTACCACCACAGAAAAGAACTAGACGCAAGTTAATGGACTCTCCAGTCACAGCTCAAAGTCCTGCTGCATCCAAGGTCTCCAGTCTCCATCATCTGGAGGATTCTCTTACCAAGGAAGTCCGCCCTATTGTGTATACGCCAGAATTTTGCAGAAAGCCAGTACAAACCTGCTGTATGCAGACTGTGATAAAGACAAGTCTACACCTTGCAGGCCTTCAGGAAGCTAATGTATGTAATATAGATATACCAGTGAAAAAGGCAAGTATTATGGACTCTACATGTGACGTAATCCCAGAGTGTGATGAAGCTGGCATGGACTCAACAGTGATTATCTATGAAGGTCCAGGTGAAACAACTGAAACATCTACTGACTCTATGAAGGAGGCACAGCCATGCAGCAATAGCATTCTGCAAAGGTATTTTCCATTTATATGGGCAAGGAGCATTACCCAAACAATTTAATCCTGTTTATCTTCACAGCTGGGTTTTTCTATTGATGTCAATTTTATTTGTAAACCCAGCACTTTGAAAATCGAACCCTTAATTTTAATCGGCATCAAATTGAACTCTGCCATCATTTGAAATCAATGGTATGCTAGTGACAACAGCTGAAGTGGAAAGCTTATCCTGTTTTACAAGTTATGTACTAAAAAGAAAATACAGCACTTTTGAAATTTTGTGATGCAAGTGACTTTCTCTAAGCCTTACTTTTCCTGTCTGTAAAATGGATATCTTAACCTCTTTGACGTTGGGAGATGCCATCGTTAAAGCTGCCACGTATGTCTGAAATCCTGCAAAGTTGCCTCACATAATGTTACTGCAATTAATTTCCGGTCTTTTTTTTTCAACTTAACATATATTTATTTATAGTTAAGAAAAATTTCACTTGATTTCTACCCAGAATAGATTTTACAAAAATGTAATTCTTTTATTTCAGACTTAGTCTCTCTTCCTTAAAAAACAAAAATCCTACTTCAGTACTTGAGAAGCCTTCATACATGGCAATGACTTCTGCTGCTCAGAGGAAAAGAAAGGTATTAAGGTAAGATTAAACTAACTCTTCTGTACAAATGAGTTTGTATTCAGTTCTTATCTTCTCACTTCAGTTTTGGTATTATATTTCAAAGCTGAAAACCTCTTTTACAAGTCATCTGGACCTACATACGAGATATTCTGATTCAAATATGTTTGACAATTCTATTATTATTATTTTTTTCCTGGCAAGTTGAGTAGATTCTTTTTTTACTCTTGGTTTAGGAACTTCAGTTGTTTTAACAAGTACAAAGTAATATTGTATCTTCTGTATCTGCTGTCCATTTAAAGAAAGATGACACATAATTCTGAAAAGAGAAATTCCATCATCAATTAAAATTCTAATTTGTTTGAAAATGTTATGCCTTTGCTGGAACACATTAGAAACTACTAAAATAGAAAGTGAAGAAAATGCTTAACAATACTTACGCAGCCAGTGCCTCTGTTTTTCTGATAATTTGTTTCCAGTCTCAGTTATGACTTCATTCTTGTGGTCTGCTCTGGGAAGAGCTCCCATTTCGTCACTTCTGGTTTATGACCCTGAAAGAAGCTTGTTAGCAGAAAAGCTGAAACTAAATAGGTGCTAAATGGAATTGTACTTTTTTGTTTGTTTTTGTTAATATATGTAAGGATTAGCTATCAGGCCAGTACTGATGAAACAGCTTTTTTTTTCCTTTTTTCAAAAGCAAAAATTGATACAGCCTTTTTTAAATCATATTATGAGTCACCTGTTGCTAGACAGTGAGTGGTCCTGCCACCTCATAGATATTCTAAAGAAGGTTTCAAGACTGTTGGAACAAGGTTTATAGATAGATCATAGGACGTGGAAGAATCTTAAGCACTTTTTTGGTTTATTAACATCTTTGAGATAGAAAATCTTCCTAGAAGATCATAGATTTACCTGATCCAATTTCATGTTCCTGTTCTCATTGTTACTAATTATTGTTCTAAACTGTTTTGCTAGGACTGCTCTAGGATGAGAAATAAACTGTAGTGCTCTAGGATGAGAAGAGGCACATCTCACACTTTCAACTTTTCAAATAGTTGATTATGAATTTAGCAAAACAAATCACCTGCTCTCTGAAACTGAGCTAGTTTTCTAGATTCTCTTTAGGGAGAGGTATGTGGGAACCTTTGAAGCCTGATTTATCTTAAGGTAAATGTTCTAAGACAGACTGTAGGGGTACTCCTTTTTGTAACAACTCTGTAATGATTTCCAAACTTGTATATGCTTATCTCTTCCCAAAAGGCTACCTCTTTCTGATCTTTTATCTCATTCCTTATGTGTCTCAAACATATATTTACCAGTTTCCAAGTTAGAATAACACTACAGGAAAATCCCACAACTTTTATTCCTTTTATGGGATTATTTCTTCTGCCTCAGACTGTAAACTGTCTGTAAACTAAAATTCTTTGTGGTTTTGTCTAGCAGTTGGTGATGAAGAGAAGGAATGAAAGCTGCTTATTTGTGAAGGAGGGAAGGAATATGTTCTTTTCACATAGTGCTTCCTTTCCTTTCGCTTCTTTCCTTTTCCTCCCCTCTTGTCTCCCATGCTTTCCCCGTTTTAAGTGGTTCGCTCCTACTAACATTACAATAAAATCATAGATTTCAGCCATATTCTCTATATTAGAAATATAATTTCAAACAGTTTTATTGCTAGGACAAGGGATAAGAGACAAGTCAGTCATAATACATAGGCTGCTTTTACTAAATAGCATTACATTCCTATTGGCCTAAGTTCTCTTCCAAGAGGCATGTATGAATTGATCTTAGGACTGGCACAAGGCAGATCTTAGTCTTTACTGCTTGCTATATATTTTCATTTAGGCAGAAAATTATTATTAAGAAAACTAGTGTAAGTTAGGGGACTATAAAGTGGGAATAATATAATATCATTAGAGGAATGGGAAAAGCATAGAAACTTGGGACATAAATAGAATTAGCTTGTTTATGAGGCTGTCTTCGGAGTGGAACTAGGGAAGTTAGCGAGGCAAGTGGAAAAGAGTGAGATCAGACAGGTTCATAATTTTCACTGTAGATCTTAAGTCCATCATGTAAAAGGCTATAAAATAGAGGTCTTGTCTTAATGAATTCAAAGCTATAGCAGCTTTCTTGCAGCTTAGCTAAAAAGTATTGCCTGCTGTGAAGGCACCCCCTCCAAATGTGTTGGAGGCTGTAGAAAAATTATTGTAGCGATAAAAACCTGATTTGTTCAATAAACGCAGCTTGGTTATTTCAAGGATTTCGTACATGCATTAAGATTATTTCTTAGTATAATCTGTTTGCAATGACCATCAAACCAGCTTCTGTAGTTTCCAAAAAAACTGTGGCATATTGGTCTGCATGTTAACATGAGTGGCAACACTGGTTCTTATTTTCACAGTTGAAACATTTTTGTAAAGTTTTCAGAAGGAAAAAGGGGAATAATATCTATCTCTATATATATACATTATAAATAAATCAGTTTATTCTTTGCATTCTGTTATAAACAACCAATACTGGATAGTATCATTTAATGTATTTCCGCGTTGCAAGGCCTAAACTGCTGTAATGTAGCTTAATCACTTTACCGAAAGCAAACTCTTTTCTGGCTGTCTTTCTAGTTCTACATCAAACACTGGGTTAAGCAGCCTGCAAGACCCTGTTTCTGCAAAACGCATTCGACAAGAGGGCTTGTTAAACCATAGAGCTTTGCAAGTACCCAAAATAGCAGGTAAGTGCCAGAACTTGCATGTATGACACTGCATGGGTAATGGTGTTTGTACAAGAGGTCCAAAATTGAGGTTGATACTCAAGGTTTTGTCAATTTACCAGCATGTGTTGCTGCGGTCAGAACACTAAGCCATTGGTTTGAATAGTATATCCATTCATTAAAAAAAAAAAAAAAATCTGAATGTCTAAGCAGTTTCTAGATGGCATCTAATCAAAACTCAGTATTGCTACAAGCTTGTTGGGAAAACCTGTTCCCCAGAGTTAAGGTCTTCCACTAAAAATTGTGTACTTGTTGAGAAATTTGGTGAACTTTACCAATTTTATCTCTGCCAAGTGTGGTTTATCAAGAAATAAAATCCTCTGATCATTTCCATACCTGTTTTTAACTGCCTTTGTTTTATAACACCACACTGATTTATTTTTACAGATATGGGTTTTTTCAGAGATATATTACTTGAACTTTGGGGCTAGTTTGGGCCAACACACTAGCTGAGGAAAAATTATTTTAAAGTAATATTTAAGAATTATTTTGCTTCTAACAGATTGCTGATAATACTATCAGGTGGTATTTCGTGAAAGTCTGGTACAGTTACATGGCTTCTCTCTGAGGTATATAAATCTTTACTGTAACAAGATCAGTTACAAATAATTTTTTTCAGTAGATTGGCACAAAGGTCTTTTGTTCACAACTTTCCAAAAACCTCTGCCTTTCCTAGTGCATGACACTAAGTTGCTTGGCATCTGCAGTAGATTTTCATGCACTAAATCCTTACAATTTTCCTTTTATTTCTACCCACTTGTCTCCTTTTCCTCTCTATCTTCAGAAATACACTTAATGGTCTATCTTAGTGCAACTTCTTGGGCAGATTAGAGGAGATGAAAGATTGTTTAAAGTTTTAGCCTGCTGTTCTTATAAAATAGTACAATCACGTAGTGTTTCTCAGTGGCATAGGCGATACGCTGTCTTATAGCATGTGCGTAAGAACTGATGTGAGGGAGCAAGTACATATGAACATGTGTTATTCTCCATTCATGAGAAATGTTCTATTGCAATAAACTTTCTGAAAAGTGTAAACCTGAGGCCAAACATTGTCTAAACAGTAGTTACTTATTTAGCAAAGTGCATACACAGTTATATCAGTATAAACTTCTACTACTAAAGACCTGGGTTATGAAGTTACCAAAATCAATCGCTACCCTTGTATTAAGAAACTATGTAATGAAGCACGGCATTCTGAAATGGAGAATAGATTTTTTTGATTCTTCAGAGTTTAACTGAATATATTAAGACATTTTATTTTCAAAAGCATGCGTTACCAGAGAAGAATGAAATATGACCAAATCCCTAAGAGGAATAGCTGCTTTTGGATTAAATAGACAAAACTTTCTCTAATGACATAGTGTTCATGTTTCAATTCGTAGTGTTCAATTATTATAGATTAAGAAAACTTTCACGTATTTCTGCATTTTTATGTAGAGCACTGCCTTTTTAATAGCATCTTGTGTCAATTTGAGGGTCTAATCATTGCTTATCACACTGCATTACTGAGCTGTGAGTGATTACATTTTTGCATATCAAAATGACGTTTTCAGTAAGTATGCAAAATGTGTAATAATTCTTAGATGTACTATGAGAAGGAGATCCAGGTAGGCCAAATTCTGCTTATGTTTATTGAATGAGTGTCTTCTATTTGTATTAACATTTCTTTCTTCACTAGGAATTAAAGCGAGGAGCTGGAAGCAAGAACAGGATGTGCCAAGAAACCTGGTCAGAAGTCTTTCTGAAGGAAATGAGGCATTGGGTATTAAATCAAGGACATCAAAAAATATTTTACGTCATGCTTGTAAGAAAAAAAATAGGATTTAGTTCTGAGTTCATCCATATTTCAAGCAGGATTGATGGCTAACAAATGAGAACAGTGTGACTTTCATTTTCCTCTTGTGAATTGTTCTGTGTTAAAGATGTCTGTCTCTCTCAGTAATGCACTATTTCAGAACGAACCACTTATTAGAAATATGAGGATTTTCTTAAATTCTAAAATGAGTTCATTTTTTGTCTCCTGTTAAAGCTTACAAATGTCTTTTGTATGTTAACAAGTGAATAAGAAATTTCATTTGAACTGGGTAATAGAGAAGTGCACAGTATACCTTTTGCCATAATCTTTGGGAGCATTTCCCTATGTTTCTGACAGATTAATACTTCAGACAATGCAAGTCTTAAAGGGGATCAGTGGTGCTGTAATTTTTAGATGCTACTTTAAATTGCTTACCTACAGTCAGTCTTAATTTTCTAATGAGAATTGTGATATGAAAGTTAGAAAAATTGCTTTGACCTGTTAAATTGTTTTCACTGAAACTTCCTAATGTTAAAACTGTTTTTCATTTAGAAGCGAGTCAAACAGATGTTAATATTAAAATGTGCTCATGCTTAGCATTAGGATTCCAATTTATTCTTAGATATGTTATCATGGATAGATACTACCAATGCAGTACCAGGAGACAGAAAAATATTTACGAGAAGTTTTTAATGAAGTATTATATCTAAATTTTTTAGCCTTTCTATTTTTAGTCTGTTACTTGGTTGTAAATGTTCCTGTTCTGTTTTTCAGGTTTTTAATTCAGTTGTAAATAGGATAATTGTTAATTACTTTGAATAAATTTTGTTTTAATAGGAGCAATATTGAACTTCTCCCAAAAAAGTACTTGTTTGCCTCTTTTTTCTTTTATGAAAAAATGTCTGAATTTTTACTATATTGTTATAAGTACATGCAGTTCATATTGTATCTTCTGATAAATGATTAATATTCAGAGACAAAGTAGTTACATATAGTTGTATTGTAGCCTTCACAGCCTGCCCACCGTTAAGAACATCGTTCTAGGGTGTTTGGTCTGTGCAAGTGTAAGTGCATAGATGAATTTCCCCAAACTAAGGAGAACTAGAGGAAGAAGTCCAGTATCTAGTTCCAGTGGTGTCAAACGACTGTCTTGAAGCAAGGAGCTTGCAAGCCAATCAGTTAAGCAAGCATGTAGTATTGCTGCAGAAGAACATTCTGGCTTTCAGTAGTAGTAGTGGGCTCAAAAGAGATTTGCATGTTGCTGTTGTTACTGTATCACAAGCTTTCTTGTGATAGCAGAGAACTGGACTCCATGATCCTAATAGCTTTTGTCAAATTTGTTCTTAAACAGTACTGCATCCAGCTCAGGGGGCCCCAGTACAAGATAGACATTGAGCTGTTGGAGCAAGTCCAGAGGAGGCCATGAAGCTGATCAGAGGGCTGGAGCACCTCTCCTATGAGGACAGGCTGAGCGAGTTGGGATTGTTCAGCCTGGAGAAAAGGCGGCTCCGGGGAGATCTAATTGCGACTTTCCAGTTCATGAAGGGGCCTACAGGAAAGATGGGGAGGGACTGTTTATCAGGGAGTGTAGTGACAGGACAAGGGGTAACGGGTTTAAGCTGAAGGAGGGTCGATTGAGATTAGATGTTAGAAAGAAATTCTTGACTGTTAGAGTGGTGAGGCACTGGAACAGGTTGCCCAGCGAGGTTGTGGATGCCCCATCCCTGGCAGTGTTTAAGACCAGGTTGGATGAGGCTTTGGGCAACGTGGTCTAGTGGAGGGTGTCCCTGCCCGCAGCAGGGGAGGTTGGAACTAGATGATCTTTGAGGTCCCTTCCAACCCAAACCATTCTATGATAAATTGTATTCCAAATGTTTATATTTTATGCATTTAATTTTGTTCTCTATAGTCTTTGATATTTAGACAAACTAATATAAACCTTCTTCCCAATGTTATCTCCCCCTAGCTATCAAATGTTGACATGTTTATTCTTGACACATTAGAGGGGCATTTTTCAGAAGGCTTCTGAAGAAGAAAATGGTAACTGCTTGTATAAGCTTTCAGGACCACTTGTTGGCCGAGTAGACAACGTTGCAGAGGCTGACTTCATCAGGGAAGTTCAAAGAGGAAGGAATGATTCCTTGAGAAATAGGCATTGCTAGTTAAAAATAATGAGATGAAAGAAATTGAATCCCCTTATTTGCATTCTAAAGGGAGTATAGGTGATAGATATAGTTGTGGTGAGCATGGGGTCGTGTTGACAGCATAATGAGGGCTGAGAAAATATTGGCTGTGGAAATGGCTTTTAGGAACAGAGTTCTAAACATCAGAAAAGGCTAAAAACTAGAATTTGGGACTTGACCACATCTCAGCAAGGTGATATAAGTAATTTTAGTAGAATGAAGGGGGGGGTGTCATTTTAATATTTCTTTATCATGATGAACAAGAATTTGGAATTAATTTTAACTTCTTATGTTTTTGGCACCTGCTACAGCTAAAATTGTGGAGACCATGCATTTTTGATTTATGGGATTTTTTCAAATTCTCAGTATTTAATATAAAATGTACATAGGGAGCTGCTTTTGTTCATACTGCTTCACATCTGCAAGAGGCATGTTGGGCTTTGCTTATAAATATAGTTGCAATGTGCATTGCTCTTGTGGCATGTAAGACTTACACATAAATGTTCCTAGCAGTTTTGAAAGGTTTTTAGACGAGCTTGTGCATGCAACATTTTGGTACTCAGTCAAAACATAGAACTGCTGAGATCTTGTCTTTTCTTAACATGTTTTGCATATCCCAGAGTGGAATTGATTCAGTTGCCTTGCAAGACTTCCAGGGACTTTAAAAAAAAAAAAAAAAAAAAAAAAAGTTGAGAAAATTAGCACACTGAGATGAGAAGTGACTCCTGTTCCTATCTGCTAACCAGATGTTGCTTACAGGTTTGTTAGCTAGGTATGTATTTACCATTTATAACTAGCATAAATGAAATGTTTCCAGAAATTATAACAGATTGAAGCAGGATTTTCATATTTCAGATTGCTGTTGATTAATATCCTGCTGTATTAATTGTACATTTATGTTGTTACATGCTATGAACAGATCTAGACTTCATAAGCAGAAGGTGCTTCAGAGCACATTCCACACACAGTGCTGATACAAAACTTTTCAGTGCCTAATAAGTTTTTTTTGTCAGATTGCCAGTTTGTTCTTGGTGGAAAGCAAAAGAGTATTGGGGGAGCAGAGGAGGTATGATATAACTCATTTCATTTTCTTGCCAATCTACAATGCCTGTTACCTGTTGGCTTGCCTTTACGAACTAATTTAAGTAATAGCATTTATCTGCAGTATACATTTAATTGATTTCATTCTGTTGTACCATGCAGTGTTAAATCATGCCAGATGGGATGTAACAGAATATTGCACAACATAACATGATTCAGGCTGAATCAAGGACTGAAATGATTTGGGTCAATTTAATCTTGTTTAGCATAATAAAAAAAACCCCAAAACCAACAACCACCAAAAAAACCCCACCCAGTAGTTATAAAATAAATTCTTGAAAATGTTGTGCCCCTTAACTAGTCTAGAATCTGATGTCTCGGATATCTAATACTTAATAGGTACTGAGTGAATCATACTTGCTCTGTGAGACACATGACAATTTTGTATGTTTGGGCATATACATGTGTCATAGTTTAACCCTAGGTGGTAACTGAGCACCATGCAGCTGCTCACTCACCCCTGTCCCCTGCAGTGGTATGGGGAGGAGAATGGAAAAGAAAAAAAAAAAACAAACCACCAAACCAGCATTGTGGGTTGAGAGAAACTGTTTAATAAGATAACAAAGGAAGAGAATAATAATAATATATATAAAATAAGTGATACACAAATGCAATTGCTCACCAGCCATGGTGGAAAAAACAACTTGATGCCCAGTCTGTTTCCAAGCAGCAATCACACCTCCCAGCTAGCCTCCCCAGTTATATCGGGCATATGACATTCTATGGCAGGGAATATCCCTTTGGCCAGTCTGGGTCAGCTGTCCTGGCTGTGCTCTCCAGCTTCTTGTCCACCTGGCAGGGTGTGAGAAGCTGAAAAGTCCTTGACTTAGTGTAGGCACTACAACTACGTGGCAACAACTAAAACCATCAGTGTGTTATCAACATTATTCTCATATTAATCCAAAACACAGCACTATACCAGCTACTAGAAAGAAAATTAACTCTATCCCAGCCAAAACCAGGACAACAGGGCAATAAAAGTAATGATCTTGGTTCGTCTTGCTTTCTTCTTTGATACAGATACCTAGTTTATTTAAAACAAATATTAGCCTGAGCCAAAAATTAGGTCTACTATGAATAGCTCTGTCTAATAGAACATTCATGAGTTCAGTGCTGCATATCAACATTGTGGAAAACAGTCCTTCATACACGAATGTCTTATTTTAGTGTTTTGAAAAGTTCATATGCTAAATTATGGGAGTATAAAATTCTCGGAAAATCTGTAGATAGATAAATTGCAATGATGTGGTATGTAGTATATTGGAGAAGGGTGAAAAAAGTATTTTGTAACATTAATTCTTTGTAAAGTTTCTTTTTCTTTAGAATATTTCTGAGTATATTCTGCAATACAAATTTCAAGCCTCTTTTTAAAGTAAGAGGAGGTACATATGTCATTGCCATAATACCCTTTGTGTGTGTGTGTAATTGGGTGTGAATAGTATTTGCTTTAATATGATAGTCTTCATGTTCAAGTGCAGTATTGGAACACTCAGCCTGTAAAATATTGGGTATTATCATTGCTCTCTCCATCAAACTAAAGCAGTCATGAAACATGTAATGCCTGAAAATATTGTTGTGCACCTAGAGGTATGTTGTCCAGACTTTCTTTAGCCAGAAAAGGTTTCCTTTTCCTATGGTCTACATCAGGAATATGTCATACTCCAATATGTCTTATTTTTTTCTCTTCTGAAAGTGACTGCAATCAACAGGGACCCCTGCGTTTTACATCTAACTGCTGTGTTTATTTG